AACTTCCTCCTTCCGAACCAGATCCCCTCACTGTGTCCGACCCCTCTGTGTCCGACCCACTGTGTCCGACCCACTGTGTCGTCCTCATGAAGCCATTCAGTGACCTAGAGCTGCAGCCATGAGTCAGTTCACTGGTAGAAAATGAACCTCAGCTATTTAGAAGCAACAGTCACCGACATGTTCTGGTTCCACCTTCTTTAATGTGAGGAGCTGATGCTTTTCTTTGTCAGACATGAGAATCAGCTGAGTCTCTGTGGATCTGCTGGTTGGACACAACGAGACGTGTGGAGACGCCACCTTTGGCTCTGGAGAGTCACAGTGGGACTTTATCCCCAGTGTTTGACATTCTGGGGACAAACAGGTCAATCAGATCATCAGGACGATGATCAGCTCGATGATCAGCTGATTGATCAGTGACCTGCTGGTTGGATTTCAGTCAGTCCGGATTCTCCTTTCTTTTCTCACCCGTCTGTTTATACATATCACCTTTCAACAGTTTTCCTACATAGAAACATTCACATGTTGCTCTGTGCTGCTAAATTACGATGAAAACATTTTCCAGCTACAGTGTTTTCCTCCGTTTTATGTGTGTGTGTGTGTGTCATAAACATGTTTCGTTTTCCTCTGTTTTATGTGTGTGTGTGTGTCATAAACATGTTTGTAACTCATAATGAGGCACACATGAAACCTAAATTTATGATGCAATACACTGCATGTGGTCTATAAACTGTAAAATAATGTGCACAAGCTGACATTTGACATCAGACTGAGAGTGCAGAAATGTTATTGTAAGCTGCAGGAAAACCCTCTGTCGGAGGTTACAGCTTATAGCTATAAGGTTAAGCTCAGGTTAAATATGCATCCTCTCTCTTTAAAACCACTTTCCTCCATCTTATCCCATCAGTTGCTGCTGCCTTCCCTCGTCTTTGTCTCTTTGCAGAGGGTTATCACTGACATAACCTTTGGCCACATCAAAGCAGCAGGAGCAGCAGCCGGCGGTCGGGCTGGGATCTGGATACGGTGGCTTTCCTGTCTCCCTCTCAGTCTCTGAGGCACAGCTTCATTTGAACTCAGTCATTTGGCAGAAAACTAAACAAGCCACACTTACTGCTGCTTACAGACTTAATGTCAAGAGAAACCACCAAACCACTGCAGAGGCCCAGGAAACCAAAGACTGAGTAACTGAGTGGTGAAACTTGAGAAAAACATATTTGCACCTTTGCCTGCAGCAGCAGAACTATATTGACCTACAAGGGTTTATGGGCAGCGTGGCTAAAAAAGTGGTCATGAAATTAAATGACAAAAACTGTTTAAACTCAAAGTACTTAATGGTCTCACTAATTTTAACTCATGTTCGGTAGGTAGGTGCTTGTTTCAGACTTCACAGAAATACTGGGCTGTGCCGCCAAAACGCAGACTTTCTTTGGTCATTATTTTCTGCAGAGATCCTCCAAAACATCTGTTTTTGTTTTTAAAACTGAAAATCACAACATTATTTAGCCACACTAGTGGCACGGTTCTGTGGCTGGTCAAGTCTGTCCTCCAGTCTTGTCTAGAGAGAAGTAGCTGAACAACATGACAACACTGTCACTCTGTGCATGTTAGCATGCTGATGTTAGCATGGACAGCCTCGCCCCTTATTTCCATCAGGAACAGCTGTGACTCGGTCACCGGAGCAGATCGCTGCCACTCCAGTCAATGCCAGGTGTGCTGGTGGAATCACAGATACACACCTAGTCTGTTTTCTTCCTGCTAACAGGCACTGTATGTGAAATACTGAAACTAAATAATTATGAGAATGAACAATTAAAACAGCCACAAATCTCTGGTCCATGTTGTTGATAATGACTCTCCAGGCTACAGCACAACAAAGTAGGAAATCTGCACCACAACAAGTTGCTCTGCTTCTGAACTAAGACGTCACAGAACCGTTGGCATTAGTCTAACATGATTCATGCTAAAGGAGCACATTTGTGGGATGCTAGTCGGGTCTGTCAGATCCCAGCTGTGTGGCTCATATTGTCGCTGGTGTCCAAAAACAACAAGGTGAAACATCACAAACACCACTAGATGCTCCATCATCTGTGCTGCGGCTGGAACCTGAACAAAGTTAAGGACATGGGCTTTAGCATCTGATTTGTGACTTCCTGAGCTCTGCCAGATAACATTTGCCACCAGTGACCATATGAGAAATGGAAACACTGAAAAGAACTTGAACAAATGGAGTAATCGAGTGCGCCTCAGTCATGGGGGTTGGGGAACAGAAAAAGTTTCTCTACTGCAGCCGGACTTCGTGACCAAGACACAGGACAGCTGTTGTGTAGAAAACTCTGGTCTATGCACTTTTGCATCATTCTGAAATTCCGCTTCTTTGTAGTCTACAAAGAAAACAAGTTATGAAAAGCCTGTGCACGTACAGGGCCTAATAAACTAAAGTTGAAACTTGATTAATATACAAAGAATGAATCAGCACCTTAGTCCAATTTAGTCAATTTTGATGCAAAAAGGCCAAACTCAATAGTTGTAAATAGGCAGATGCTCAAAACAGACAAAACAAGCAGGTTAAATATATTGTTTTGGCATTTTTCATGGCTTTCTGACATTTTATACACAGAAGATAAAGAGAAACCTGGAAAATAGTAAATGTTAATTTAACCAATCAGCTAAAAGCCTAATACACAGATTTTTACATATTGTAGCACAGTCTGATTTTATGAGGCTACACTCTGTTGCCATGTTCATATTGTCTACTGTATTTTTGTTTTGCTGTGTTTTTATGCTACAGTACAACGGTATTGAAAAGAAGATTTTAATCTCAATGAGCCTTTTATCTGATTAAATGTAAGGAACATGAACAGAAACATTTTGTAGATGTAAATGCAGAAACTTCAGTCATTTCATCTGGATAAAGATACAAACCAGATCAGTTACAAAGCCGGGGTCGAATCTGGGAATCTGTTGGATGATTTCATTTACTTTAACCCTAAAAACGACACTTTGGTGCTTTAATGTTCCGGGGGGGCGGTGACTAACGTGGACTAGTGTTTTTGGAGTCAGAATGTGATTAGATACTGTCGGCCGACCCTGGCTGAACCCTGAAGGTGAAAGGTGAAAGGTTGGCCCTCTGTCTCCCGCTGGGCTGCTACAGGCCTCAGCTCTGGACTTGACCCCGAGCCTCCTCTGAGATTCAGCACTGTGGGTGGTAAACACACAGGCATGCACGCACATGCCTACATACACATTAATCTCACATAAATTCATATGCACTCACACAGCGGCTGAATCGCAGAGGTTTGATCCGGTGAAGCACCACTCGGACGTTACACTCTGCAGGACCTTCCAGGAAGAAACTCAACCCCTCCTTCAGCTACTAGAAGAAAGAACCTGACTCTGGTGGGCAGCCTAAGTCATCACGTTCTTACTCGCTCCATTTACACCTGAATTTATCTAAACCTGGGAAAGGGCACCAACCTGCATCGAGATGTTGAGATGAGATTTATTTGACTGATCCATAAAGTCTTTGTAGTTTAACTTGTAAAACATCAGCCTCCTTCTTGTGTAACATTCAAATGATTGTGATGAAGATGAACGGGGCCTCCCCACACAGAGTCCTTGTAAAAATGTTTTCTTTCACTAATTTGATTTTATGGATCAACAGCACCTGCTGCACCCAAATCACTACGATCTGCACATCAGCAGGAGTTTGAACGGTTTTACGGTCTGGAGATGATGGAGATGATGGAGGTACTGCGATAAAAACCAGAGGTACTGTGTGTTCCCTGTGTGCTGTGGAGAGACTACTGCATTAGACCTCATTGTAGTTATCTTTGCTCACCACTGTTGCACATAAAATAATGTCACTAGTCAGTGTTTGTTCCAGTTATCTTTGCTCACCACTGCTGCACATAAATAATGTCACTAGTCAGTGTTTGTTCAGTTTGAAAACCACTTGTCTGTTCCTACTGGTTTGACTGAGCTCCTGTTCAGTGGTGGTGGAACTGGAGGACTACGATGAGCTGCCTGCACGTTACGTCGTCCCAGTGCTCATGAAGAGGCTGGACACACCGTGCGTCTGCAGCCTTCAGGACAGTAGTGGAGTTAACAGTGACAGGAAGTGCAGTGCAAAGGGAACTCGTTATAGAAAATAGGAAAAACGCACAATTCACTGGCAGAAAATGTCAAACCTTCGTAATTAAGAGCAATTATTAAGTTTTACTGGCTGTATACAAGGTTTTATAACGTTCTCATTACGCAGCACAGAGCCAGAGCTTCGCTGGAACAACAGAGGGGAATATTATAGTTTGTTAGGACAACAGAAGGGAACACTCGCAGCTTTTCTCCTTATTGAAGCCAGCTGCCACTCATCACCGGCCATAACCTGAAACTTTGATCTCTGTCCGACAGCTCACCGAGCAAGAAAAACTAGGCTGTTACAACCTTAAACAACAACACACACACCCATTGTGTACACAGCTGCTGAAACAACTGTAATGTCTGCTGACAGAATCCTGAGTCACAGAACTCGTTAGCGTTTATTAGGAACACATTTTCTCAGCGTTTTGTTTCTCTGGGTCTAAAGCAGGGTTACACGGCGGAGGATAAACCAACCATCAACAGTGTGTGGCAGCATGTGTGCACCCTGTCAGGAGTCCAACACGCTGCCATCTCTGATGCTGGATTCAACCTCTAATCAGTGTGTAACGTTTAGATTTCACCATGTTCTGCTAAAGGGATGTGTGGTTGTGAGAAACACTCCAGAGCTGACATACACAGCATTGCACAACTTCTCCTGAAGGAGGCCACTTTGCTTGGTCAGTGTCAAAGTAGCAAAACATTCATGAGCACTTTCATCTGCCCTTTGTAAAGATGCAAAACTGCAACATGTGCATTGTTTTCATTGCCTACGTGTCTTTTTCTACATGAATTACATTATTTATAGGAATGTAAAGCGTCAGTGTCTGAGCAAGAGACGAGAGCTAAGAGGACAGTTCACCTCTTACCTTCTGCAGCCACTGGGTGTTGTTCTCCATTGTGCTCTCCAGGTGCTGCAGTTTCTGAGCTGACCAGTCACTGTCCATAGGTGGCGAGTCTCTCTGCACCACACTCGTCCCGCTGCGAGAGCCACCAGATTGGTCCATCTGCTGCACTGGCCGTGTTGGATGCGATGGTACCTCCTTCTCTTCTCCGCTCCTCCACCGCCGCCTCCTCCTCCTCTTCTTTGGCTTCTTCCAGCTCCTCCTCGTTCTGTGCTTGTAGCAGCAGCTGCGTCAGCAACGACTGACAAGGCCCAGAGCAGCAGAAGCACCAGCAATCCCCAGCCGAGATTTAAGCTTTTCATGGCGCTCTCTTCAACTGTATTGAACTGAATTCTCTCAGAGTGATGAAGTTAAGAAGGCTGGTTCACCCACTGATTCCCTCTAGGAAAGCATCTGTGTGCAGGGCATGAGTCTCTGCACCAAGTCTCTTGGGCTTGTTCTCTTTCTCTTTCAAATTAGTTTTCTTGTAGATCAGATGTTTTTGAAATGCAGAAGCAGAAAGCGACACCTGAACTGTTGTCTGACAATAAAACGTCTTCCCTCCCTTCTTTACTTGTGATGAAGAAGTACAGCAAGATAAGGATCCATCTTCTTTCTTCCTCCTTGTCCTTCTTTTGTCCTTGGATCTTAATTTTCTCTGCAGTCAGGTTTGTCTTACTGATAAAACACTTTTCAGGATGGGTCCATTGGCTTGACCCTGGGCAGGTCTTTCATGGCTTTCTTGAAATCCCCTCCTGTCCTTAATGTGCCTGGTGCAGGTTTAGATCCACTCTGGAAAAAATATGGATGGAGAGAAAGAGAAGAAGATAAAGGGGGTAGAAATGATGTGAGGATGGAGACGAGTCAATGTCTAAAGTGACCGAAGGAACGAAATGGACTTCTCAGTCCTCAAATGTGCAGGAATACAAATGTCCAGACTTCTCATCCTTCTCTAGTGGCTCCAGTTTCAGAAGTGGCCAAAGAGAAATAGCCCCCGTCTTATCTGGGCTGGCTGAGAAAAGGAGGAATGGGCGAGGAGGGAGGAGGAGGAGAGAGAAAAGACTGAGGGAGAGGGAGGAGTGGAAGGACAGGAGACCTGAGGGAGGTCTACTACAGCACCCTCTGTGAGAGGAAAAGAAAGGAAAGAGGGAACGAGAAGTAGCCTAAAAAAGTAAAAGGGGAAGATGTATGGAGTGAAAAAGAGGAGAGTGGGGGAGGTAAAAAGAGACACATCCAGATAAGACAGACAAACAGAGAGGAGGAGAGAGCAGGAAAAGAAACAAAACTGCTGACAGACAGAGGAAAGACAGAAAGAAATGGGCAGATTATTTGCGGACTGATCTTTCGGTTTTGAAGAAAACCCCCAGGCCTTGTATGGTCATTCACAGTGAGTCACCAACTGGAAGCTAGGGATTTCACTATGTCCTCTAAACTGAGCTGTGCTCAGTATCAGGGGAGATCGAGGGCTGAGGCAAACCACGTAGTCCACCATCCTCTGAGTCTAAAACCTGTCAGATGGTGTACCTTCTCCCTGCTTCTCACGGGCCCTGCTGCTCTGCACTCCACAGAGATTAGTTCCAGACAAATGGCTTGGTCCCAGACTTATGAGACACAAGTTCCACATGTGGGGGGGAGACAATGGAAGATGTCGGTTATCGAGTTTATTTGCATAGCGATAAACTAGTCTGCAGAAGTTGACTGATACAAATGCAGACAAAATACTTTGAGAGAGAGATAAGACGCACTCATTGTACAGATTGTGCAAGAAGATGAAAATCCTGAAATTTATCTAAAGTGACATCTCAAAACAATAAAAGGAAGCAAAGAGACAAAGATTTCTGTGGAGGACCTTGTGTCCCTGCACCATCCTCTGCTGGTTGAAGAGGACACGGGGATAAAAAAGCTCCTTTCAGCGTCTTATTTATTTTGACATCATATATTTTCAGCACGGCCTGACCTCGGCCTGCTGTTACTGCTGTGCTGCAACGTAGATCTTAACTTGGAGGGGTGGGGGCGCTCACTTAGTGTGAGCCAATTGGTCCTTTGGGGGAAAGCACAGGGGTTACACAGCGAATGGCTTCTGCCCCAACCAGAGATCATTCTCATGGGAACAGGAGCGGACAGGGAGCTGGCTGCACAGAGCTGCAACACATAGAGCTGCTGTTCCTGCGCAAACTCTCCCTGTTGCATCGTTTCTTTCTGAGAATTTATGAGATCAAACTGTTGTCTGTAAAGTGACTCTCGCATCAAGATAAAAATCCACAGACAGAGCCATGAGTCAAAACATGTTTTCTTTCATCCAGCTGCACAGCAGGTTTTAATTCTATCTTCATTTATCCATGGACAGTTTTAATTTATGAATTAGTGATGATATCTTAATGCTCTCTGACAGACTGACAAAGACACAGGCTGTCTCACAGGATGACAATGCTTTAGAAAACACAAGCATAAACTCTGCAGGAAACACGTAGCAGAGGTGGAGAGAGTAAAACGCTGTGCTACAAACTGATCAGCTGCTCGCTAATGCTAAACAGTCAACAATAAAATTACCAGGGAGGAAGTTTCATTTACATTTGTCTCATTTGTTCTTCCATGTTTTTTTTTTTTTTTTTTTTTTTTGTGGTGGTTTGAATTTAACTTGAGGAAAAACTTACGCTTTACTCGCAGAATAGATCTCGATCCAAGTTGTGGATTAATTTTCCCCAAACATCCCCCACATTGCCCTGAACATCCAGACCCTGAGGACAGGATCCTACTTTCCATCATGATACTGGTGTTTTTGTTTGTATTGATCCAGCTCGTCCTTACTGAACATCATGACTTCTCATTCTCGTTAACTTAAGTCAGCAGAGGGACAACGCGTCTTATCTATATGTTCATTGTACACTGAACCTGTTAATATCCATGGATGCAACTTAATGTACAGCTGCTTTTTAGATTTTTTAGATTGTCCATCTTACTATGACAGAGTAGATTACAAAGTCTATTCTAGCCTCCATTTTCTGTTTTGTTTTTTTTATTTTGTTTATTTCTGTTATATATTTTTAAGCAGACTTCTTACGGTTTGGGGTTCAGGGCCTTAATCAAGGGCACCACCGTGGTGTTGATGAGGGGTGGGCTGGGCAAGTGCTGCTTTGTCCCACCCAGATTTAATCCCCTTAGTCACAAGCTTGATTTTCTAACTGTTAGGCCCTCACAGCCTGTTTGGCTTTATATATAATTTAGCCTTAGTGTGAGTTTCCAAAAACTCATCGCTTATTTTAGGGATGTGTTTGTCTCTCGTCACAGTTTAGCTGAATTCTGATGAAGTCACGTCATTCCCGGTTTGCTTTGGTTGAAGAAGCAGTGAAGTTGTACATGCAAACACAAAGCAAAACAACTGCATTACAAACGCTGAGCCGTAGCCATCTCCAGATGCCAGAGATTAGGGCAACATGGCATGAAGTGTTTCTATCCTCTGCAGTTCTGTGTGCTATCTGCACTTTCTTCTCTTCAGGCTGATATCAGGACAGAGGGCACACGAGTAATGAACCAGCCCTTTCACCTTCCCTCTGTGGGAAAGGACGCAGGGATGAGGACGTGTTTTCTTATTCCAGGATCTGATTTCAGCTCACTCTCTTTTTTCGTCTCTTTCTAAACTTGATGTTCGTCTCTTTGTCGTCCATCTGAATCCTCTCCTCTACTGTTGGACACATTTACCACATCTTGGTTTGGCGACTCTTTCCTCCTGGTACGTTTGTAGAAACCAAAGTGTTTGAGTTTCATTTCCAGTGGTGGAAAACAACTGAGTACTTTTACTCAAGTATTATACTTAAGTACTGTACTTTACTTGAGTATTTCTATTTTCTGCTACTTCATACTTGGAGTGGTATTTCTACTTTTACTCACAGTAAGTAAAGTGAGTAATTCTTCCACCACTGTTCATTTCACTAATGAACCAACTGTTCTGGGAAAAAACAATGTTTATAAAAATAAAGAAACCATCTTGTTTTATTTTCCTCTGAATTTAATTCAATTTGTTCACTGTGAATTCTCAGACCACTGGTTTGATTTTTAGTCTTCTTTCCCTCCGATGCACCAGTTGTTTTTGTCAGTCTCTCTACATCTACAACGTCCTTGTTAACAAAAATACCTGAAGTTATTCGTCCATATTGTTGTGATTCCAT